CCCCCCCCCCCCCCCCCCCCCCCCAGCCTGCAGTGTCATATTCTCTCTGTGCCAGGGGCCTGGTGTGGGGTGATGTGCTGTCATCACCTCTCTTCATCCACAAGTCTCCTCCTCACAGCTCAGTGAAGCCCAGCTGACCCAGCTCACACTTGCCTTGGGACCAGCCCCAGAGGAGAATGGGAAGAAGCAGCTTCCAGACTGCATCATGGGGGAAAATGGGCCAGTACTCACCCCTCTAGGCCGCTATCAGGTAAGAGGCCAGACTGCACCCCACCTGCTTTTCACACCAGATGGTCTCCTCCCACACTCTACCCCGGGTTGATTCCCAGAAAGTGTGTTCTAGAATGCCCTCTTACCCCGTTTTCACCCCGTGCTGCTCTCTGCTGTGACCTCTAGATCATCAACGGTCTACGGCGGTTTGAGATTGAGTACCAGGGTGACTCAGAGCTGCAGCCCATCCGGAGCTATGAGATTGCCAGTCTAGTCCGCCTGCTCTTCCGGCTATCCTCCACCATCAACCACAGAGTGAGTCAGGTGGAAGGAGGAAGAAGGCTTGGCTTTCAGTCCCAGGGGTGGCTTGGTCAGCTGACTCTCCTCTCCATCTTGCCTTTGTGTTCAGTTTTCAGGCCAGATGGCAGCCCTATGCTCCCGGGCTGACTTCCTGGGCAGCTTCTGCCGATACCACCTCACCGAGCCTGCACTGGCCAGCAGGCACCGGCTAAGCCCCTTGGGACGCATGCACACCACCAGCCAGGCTCCGGGCCCCAGGCTGAGCCTCCGCTTTCTTGGCAGCTACCGGACACTGCTTGTGCTCCTGCTGGCCTTTTTTGTGGCCTCTCTGTTCTGTATAGGGCCACTCTCCTGCACCCTGATCATCATCTTAGGCTACCTGCTCTATGCTGCAGCCATGACACTCCTCACTGAGCAGCAGAGGACACACCAGGCCTGACGTCTGCCCAGACCCCAGCAGAGACCTTTACAGACCTTTCAGGGGGACCAAGGGGCGGCTCCGTCTAGGCCTCAGCCACCTGTGAGCCTTTGTGCAGTCATCTTCACGTTCAAAGGATGTTCTGAGCAGTGATGGAAGTTGTTAAGATGAGAGGGAAGACCAGACCAAGACACCCTATGACTAAGTCATGTCCTGCCTGCGCACCGCTGGAGAAGGAGCCTGGACCAACCAACCCCATGATGCCATGACTGCAGCTGTGGTGTTTGGTCATCATGGGACTTAGCTCCTCAAGCTGGGCTGCCAGCTGCCCTTAGGCCTGCGGTGTGACATGAGATGCCATGAACAAGAGCTCCGGAGAAGAATCAGCATTTCAGAACAGATTTATGAAGAAGCAGATAGTGGCTCAGCAGAGTTCATCAAAGGAGATCTGTCTATCCCAATTGGTCCCCAGAATTCCATATTGAGGAGAGAGAAGAAGGGCTTCCAAAGGCCCTTGTCCAAGGTGACCAGCATCACTGCCTCTGCTGCCTGTCCACAGCAATGTCAGCACACTCAGGTTGATGGGGTCTGATCTTAACCAGAGTGTGTGGTCTCGGTCCTTGGTGAAATCAAGTATGTAAAGACACAACCTTTTAATAAAACATAATTGTTCAAAAATAAAAACTGGATGTTCATTCTCGGAAATTGTTCCTATATCTATCCCCCAGAGCAGTTCCGAGAATAGCAGATCATGTGACATTACACGACTGTTTGGTGTCAACAAGTTGAGATTCATGGCAACCCTTTGTACAGTAAATCTGAGCCCTGTCCTAGCCTGTGCCAGCCTCACAATCTCTGACACCCTTGAGCCCATTTCTGCTTTCACTATGCCAGTCCATCATCTTCCTCCTTCGCCAGCATCACCCCCGAAGTATGTAAGACTTGGGGTTGTGGTTGTGGAGAATACAAAATATCCCAAGGGATATTTAGTTTTAGCGATAGGTTATATTTTGCTGGTGTTTTTTTCTTTTTCCTTTTGTTAGTGTTGGAAACAAACATGGTCTGTTGTAGTTGGAAAATACAATCTTAGTGTCAGAAATTAGGCTGGTTGGCAATTGCATGATAGAATTTAATACAATGAAGGATTTATTCATTGCAAATGTCTTGGGTCATATTAATTGTGCACATTGTTGATTGTCTTCGAATAGAACATGACTCATAGCGACCCAATGAACAACGGGCCTGAAGCCCCTCTATAATTACTGACATTTCTCAAAATTCATAGTTTCCAGAGGCATGTTGTTTGGGAATTGGATGCCACTCCTGCTTAACTTTTTTTTAAAAAAAAACAAGGATTAACTATACACATGGTTGGTCAGTGCTCCAGCACCACAGCTCAAAGGTGTCCAGGTCTTGGATGCATATCTAGTAATTGGAAAGACTATAGCCTGAATCAGATGCACCTTAGTCCTCAAACTGACATCACTACTCAATAATTTGGAAAGGTCCCATCCCTAACCAGATTTCCCCAGTGCAATGCATCAACTAATTTCCTGCCTGCTGGTACCAAGGATGTTACTTGTGGATCCAAGCAAGATGAAGCTGTGACAGTTTAAATCTCCTCTCCATCAATCATGACACTTGCCTATTGGTCCAATGGTAAAAATCTTTGTTTTCTTGATATTGAGACACAATCCATACTGAAGGCTGCATCCTTGATCTTCTGCAACAAGTGCTTCAAGTCCTCACTTTCAGCAAGTTAAGGTGTCATCTGCATAACGCAGGTTATTGATGAGTCTCCCTCCAATCCTGTTGCCACACTCCTCTTCATAGAGTCTAGCTTCCCAGATAATTTGCTCAGCATATAGATTGACCAGATATGGAGAGAGAATACAACTCTGACACATTGCCTTCCCAATTCCAAACCATGAAGTGCTCCCCTGCTCCATCTACACAACAGCCTAGAGTACTAAAGAGAAATGAGGTCTAGATACTAAGGTACACCTGGTTCAGGCCATGGTCTTCAAAATTACGTGCTATACATCAGCTGGACAATGATTAAAGATGATAGAAGGAAAAGTGATGCCTTTGAGTTGTGCTGGAAAAGAGTTGAATATACCATGGACTGCTAAGAGAATAAACAGGTCTGGCCTGGAGAGGGTGAAACGAGGCAAGGATTTTGAAGATCCATCTGACATACTTTGGTATATTTCCAGAAGGGACCAGTCATTAGGGACAACACAAGAGAGGAAGATGGTGGGTGAGATAAACTGATTCAGTTACTGGGGAAATGGGGATAGCTGTGTTGAAGATAATGAGGTTGGTTCAAGATATAGCAGAGTTCAGAGCTGTTAATACATAGGATCGCTATGAGTCGCAGGTGACTCAACGGCACATAATAACATACACATGGACCTCACTAAGAAAGACTGACTATATCTGCACAAAGATTCAGTAGAGAAGCTCATTATCAGCAGTCAAAGACAGATGACTGGAATAGATCATCACTCATGTGCAAGTCCAAATTGAAGCTGAAGAAAATGTAAACAAGTCCACAAAAATCAAAATACAACTGTAGAATTTAAAGCCCTTAAGAATAGATTTGATGCACTGAATACTAATGATGGAATGTCAGATGTGGATGACATCAAGGAGATCATCTATGAAGAAAGCAAAGTCATTACAAAGACAAGTGGAGGGGAGATCAAAATGGATGTCAGAAGAGACTGAAACTTGCACTGGAATGAAAAGAAGCCAAAACAAGTGGAAAGAATGCTGAAGAGAGGACAGCTGGAGAAAACAATGCAAAGTATTATGAAATGTTCAGAGCTGAGGTTAGAAAACCAAAAGGGGAAGAGCACACTTGGCATTTCTCAAGCAGTTCAGAAGAACAAGGGATACAGTTGCTACAACTGACATGTCACAATCCCAACTGGTTGAAAGAGAATACCAGAAATGTTTACTTGTGTTTATTGACTATGGAAAGGCAATCACAGAGCACTGAATTAATAATGTGTGAATTCTATACATAGACCAAGAAGCAGTTTGTTGAACAGAACAAGGGAATACTGCCTAGTTTAAAATCAGGGAAGATGTGAGGGTTGAAGACTTGATGTACTTACTGCAGAAGATAAAAACTCTTCAATATGGATTATATTTCAGCATCAGGAAAAGAAAAATCCTGATCACTGGGCCTATAGACAACATAATGATTATGTGCTGTGACTCATAGTGACCGTATGTACAACAGCTCTGAAGCCGGCCCTGTCCTGAGCCAATCTCACTATGACACACCAACCCACATTGCCCTTGTTACGATATCAATCCATCTGATCCGGGATCCTCCTCTCCTGTGCTGTTCCTCCACCCTTCTGAGCATGATGTCCTTCTCCAAGGATCAGTCCCTCCTGGCCACGTACCCAAAGTTGTGTGAGATGGAGCTTCAAAATCCTAGCCTCCAAGGAGAAACTTGGTTTCACCCTCTCCATGACAGACCTATTTATTGGTTTTTTGTTTCTTTTTTTAAAAAATTACCATTTTTGTGTGTGTGTACCATCAAATCGGATCTGACTGGTATAGGAGGAGCATGTCCCTCCTCCAGCAGAGCATCTGGTGGATTCAAACTGCTCACCTCTGGGATTGCAATGCAGCTTCTTCCCACTAGGCCACCAGAGTTCACCTAGACCTATTTGTTTCCTTCGTGGTCCATAGTGTCACCGACCACCCGACCACGGTCGTGACAAGAAACTCGAGGGGTTTCTTGGTGAAGAGCAGGTGAGGGACGAAGTCGG